AATTCCATGGAAATCATGCACATCGGGAAATGTAAAAATATTGATGTTTTCAGTGCTAATTTTAACTGATACTCTGCGGCCGGCCATCGAGTGGGAAAATTAGCCCAGCCACCCCCAGAGAAACTAAACGCAACCAGTTAGGGATCCGCGGAGGATACTATATATAATACCCAGTCAATATTTTTGCGGTCCCTGTTGTGTACGGTATGTGGTGTATGTGGTGTGTGTGTGGGTAGTGCTGCCCCTTGGCATCTTGGCCCCTTGGCCGTGGTTATATAAATAAGTGAACATTTATTTAAAAATCATCATCATCGCACTTCCAATTCCAATGCAGCAGCCACGCCGCACAGGCGGCCCCACGAAAACAGATGCTCAGAGTTTCCTTTCTTTTAGTTGAAGGAGATCGCCGGTCAAAGCAACAACACAGCACGAAAGAACACTGAGCAGAAGTCGAAGGCGACCAAAATACGTGCACAATAACAAAGCAAATCAACAACGAGCAACAGCGAACCAAGCCCAAAAATAATACAATTCTAAAATATATCTCTCAGTGTGCGGCTGTGCGTCGCCGTGTGTGTGTTGTGTGGCTTTTCGATTTATTTCCGACCGATCACTCGGAATGAAGAGTTAAGAGCTTTATTAGTAATCCGCTCGTGCAGCCAAACGCGCGCGCCTTTTCGCCTTGTTCTGTAACTATCGGGTTGTCGATAACTCAGTTGAAACCAATAAAAAAAATAACCAAAAGTGCACCAAGTTAGCTAATGAAAGTTAATCAATGAAATAATTAAAAATAAGTGTTAGCTTTTGCTCTTTACAAATGCAAAAAGTGGGGTGCAAGGGAGGAATTTCAAATGTATTTTTGAAACATCGATATCAAGAAAAGAAAACAAGTAACTTGAAAATTTTGGGACTGGCAGCTAATTCTGGTTTGCGGGCATTAGATTAGCCGTGGTCAAAATCTTCTGGTCATATCATTTATGGAAATGATCAAAAAAGAGAATACGGACGAACAGGGGGACATGACCAGATCGAATGGCATAGTGCTTCTGACCTTCACCATACTATTTTATAGGGTCGGCTATCTTCTACCTGTTACGTACATACCTTTCAACGCATCTAGTATATCCTTTTGCTCTGCGAGCTATTTTAATTATAACAGAGCTACGTACTTTCACTGTGTCATAGTCCTCGCTGAATGATTGGTTCATACTCTATGGTACACTCCGTTTAAACGCTTTGCTCGCTTGTTGAATACATAATTGGCCGCTTAATACGATTTGGCCATAATCTGATTAGCTTCTTCATGGCAAAGCATAAAAAGGCAAACAAAGTTCTCCGTGCAGCAAAGCCTCTTGCCCAATTTGGCATCCATAAAGAGCCACCACAATCCGGCGGAAAAATCCTTTGTACACATACTCCCACAAAGCAAAGGAAACGCTCTCACAGTACTCAATCACTTCCGTGAAAACGCCATTAAAACGCTTGGAGAGCGCTTTGGCAACGCTTAGCTCGAAAGCTCATCAAAAAGAAATTCTGCTGGGGATGCGACGAGGTCGGGGATTCCCCAGAGGATGGGGCTTTGAGGCCAGTGAAAAGATGATGTCTGCGCCTTGTTGGCGGCATTATTACCTTATTTCGGGTTACCTCTAATTTTAAAATGGCTCAAACGCAAACAAACAAATACAATATGAACCGAACTGAACCGTACAGAACAGAACAAAACGGATCCGAGCAAAACGAAACGGAAAAGCAGCAGAAGAAACAAAAAGCGTTTTTTATAGAACATTTATTTATAATTATACATTCTCGGTGTATATGCGATTTTCTGCGCCAGTAAAGTGAAGTGTAGGAAATATACACACGTCTATACCTCCTCGCACATATAGATTCTTGTACAATATTTTCATTTCCAATCCTCAATCCGAATCAATCGGCTCGCCTCGCCTCGCTAGTGTCCGTGTCACATTGTATTATCGTTTCCATTCGTCGACAATCGAAATGCAATCGATCAACGGACGTGAGTGAAGCGGTGCCAATTAAGTTTTATTTCGTTCAGTAAAGTGCAGTTTCGCTGTCATAAGTCGTGAAATTTCCCAAAATAAAGTGAAAACATCTGTTTGCGAAGAAAGAAAAAGAGTAATAAATAAAGAATCGGGAGAATTCCAAATGTTGAGTGAAGCCAGCAACATGTTGCCAGCAAGTAATGTGCCAATTCGCCGCCAGAGGTCGTTCTGTAATATTCCGCCCGAGAGATGGCGACAGTCCCACGATCGGCTACAGTTTTACCAAGTGCCCACCAGATGGCGCCAACAGTGCCATCTGAAAATGTAAGCAAAAAGTAAAAATGTCTTAAAGTTAAAAGTGGAGCAATGAAAACCCCTCGAGACTTTTCCCCGAAAGCAGCTTAGCATGAAAAGCTTATCAACTAATACCTCTGCTCTGGGCTAGCATCGTGACTAGCAAAACAAGGGGAAAGCTGAGGTCGGATTTGAGGTTAACTGCGGGCTGAGGCTGTCAATCACTTCAGAGGGCGAGAGCAGAGCTCTTGAGCCGTTTCCGTTTCCGCCGGGAAATTTAATATGCCATCTCGTGCACGGCTTCCTCCCAATTTCCATAGTCTGCATTATCTGGTCCTGCCACTTTTGCACTATATGTTTCTATGTCTACAAATATTTACTGTTCCCCTTTCTCGTGATTTCCCGTTACACCTTTTTGCTTTGTGCAAATTATTATACCCGTTACTTGTAGAGTAAATGCGTATACTAGATTTGTTGAAAAGTATGTAACTGGCAGAAGAAAGCGTTTCCGCCATATAAAGTATATACATTCTTGATTAGGATCAATTGCATTTTTGAACTATTTATTTTATTATTTAATTTTGTTTGCAATTTTTACCGATAGTCCAGAAAATGTTTCTGCCACAATTCTCTAAAAATCTGCAATAAAATTTAGAAATTTATTTTTTTTTAATTTTTTTGTAATTTTTTTTATATATGATGATTTAGATTTAAAAAAAAATGTCCCACGGCTGAAGTTCTATACTCCATAACTCAACTTATCTTAATCGGATTTTGAAGTGGCATACCTCTAAATGTTTCTGGCGCAATTCTCTACAAATCTGCATTAAAATTTAGAATTTTTTTTTTTTTAATTTTATTGTAATTTTTCTGATGTTATGATGTAAAAATTGAACAAAGTTATGAAATGTCCTAAGGCTGAAGCTCAAAACTCCATAACTCAACTTATATTAATCGGATTTTGAAGTGGCATACCTCTAAATGTTTCTGGCGCAATTCTCTAAAAATCTGCATTCAAATTTAGAAATTTATTTTTTTTTACATTTTTTTGTAATTTTTCTGATGTTATGATGTTGTAGAAATTGAACAAAGTTAAGAAATGTCCTAAGGCTGAAGTTCAAAACTCCATAACTCAACTTATATTAATCGGATTTTGAAGTGGCATACCTCTAAATGTTTCTGGCACAATTCTCAAAAATCTGCATTCAAATTAAATAATTTTTTTTTTGTTTTTATTTTTTTGTAATTTTGAGATGAAGTTTATTGATTGTGCTTCCAAAATAGATTGATAATAGATTTTTCTTATCCCTAGTGATTGAAAAAATTTATTAATTATTTATCAATTCAATAATTATGCGTTTATGTTGTTTGGTTTTCCGTTTTGTTGTTTCTAAATTGCAAAAACTTGTTTATTTACGCAAATTTTTGTAGACTTTGGCCGACAGCCAACAATTGCAAATGCTCAAAATTTGAAAAACTGAAAACGGCACGAAAAATTACGATAAATACAAAGAGAAAACCGTGACAATTGGAAATTCAACTGAACGAAATAAGCTCAAAACTAAATACGATTTAAAAACAAATAACGTTTTGTGAAGAAGTAAATATTTTGTGTATTCAAAGAGAATTACATATATAGAATATTTTGACTTTTTGACACATAAACAGCGAGTTTCCAACTATACTTATATACAAAAGTATATACATATGCGGAATCATGGTGTTGTGGGCGTTAGGGAATGTTAAAGGTATAGAAAATATATATATAAATATATATATGCCATCGATAGAAAAAAAGGGGAGGAATAAAACAAGGTGGGAAATGTGGAAAAATATTGCGGGGGATATTTATGAGAGACAACTGCCAGCTGAATCTGTTTGATGTCTACTTTTTTTGTGTTTGTTCGATAACGACTTGCCAATACTCTACACCAAAAGGATTGAATCTTAAATTGCAACCCTCATTGAAAGTTGTCTAGATTTTAAAAACCTCCCACAGTTTACTTAACAAATGGATCCCCTTTTAATTCGGCTTTAAAGCACCCAGAACAGAAGAGTGTCCGTTGATGTTTTTTGAAGTTTTCATTATTATGATGTAGCCACAGGAGGTGGCAGTCTGGGGCACTCATAGGTAGCCATTTCACTGGAAATGCCATGGCAACGCAACAAAGGGAGCACCACAAGCACACGCTTCTCTCGGGGACCAATGATATACAGAAAACTGATCAAGTCTATGGCAACCTGAGTGGATGGGGTATGTGAGCATGGAGGAGCTGCCTCCGATTGTCTGCTGCTGGGGATGTGGATGTGGCTGTTGCCGTTGTCGCTGAAGCATTTCATTAGCCACCCACGCACTCTGACACTCACAACCACAGCAAAGCAGCCCACAGATACAAATACAGATACAGATACTGTCGCAGAGATACTCCGTCTCTGTGTGGGCGATTGTCGAGCACAGCACGCGCGCATTTCCCTCAACACAAGAGAATCCTGCAAGTGACTATCTGCCACCCCAAATGCCATCCCAATCGCCATTCCATTCCATTCCAAATGCCACCCCATATCAACCCCTCGAAGCCCCCGACCTGTTGCATTATCTGTAGGCTCGCCACGGCGGGGGACTCACGTTTGCGCACATTTCTTCTGAAAACGATGGTAAAGCACTTGTGCAATGGCTAACATATATCCCCTTTTTACTTTCAGTTATACAACAAATCTCAGGTGGAAGCAGCAGTTTAAACATCAATGTCAATTCCCATTAACTGCATACAATAACCCGATGTACAAATGCGTAATATAAGTGATCCACGCGAGTTTTCTAGGACTATTTTCGAGTATTCACCGGAAGCTCGCTGAACAGTGGCCATAGATCTTTCTTTCGGAGGGAATCACTGCTGGGACAGTTGGCTCCCGTATAAAGTAAGTCATATCCTATAATGTTAACAGATTATAATGCTCGATATAAAAGTGGTGTACAATTCTAATACATCTTTGAGTTCCCACTTATTTAATTTTGACTTTATTATTTTGATGAAGAAAGTGTAGATCTGTGAGAACTAGTAAAAGTTTTACAAATGTATAAAGTATTTCTGGGGAAGTTTGATTTTATTAGGAATGACAGCTTCATTTGGCGTACGTATAGTGTGGACCTGTAAGAACTGGTGCTGTATACAGAGTTGTATCCATTTCGGACCAGCTTTCTTGGCTCTCGACCGGATTCCTGGGTAGTCTGCGACTACGAATACCAGATCGGACCAGACCTACAACAACAGCTGCGTATGCGAGATGCGCAAAGACACAGATACAGTGGCACTCACACACACACAGCCAAGTATCCAATACTTTAAATTAACGTGAAACATCTTTGCCAAGACCATTTCCTAGCCATTGCCATGGAAACGCGGGGCTGGGAAACAAAAGCATTGTGTTACAAAGTTCCGTGCAGATATCGATGGTTTTGAATTGCCGAGCTCTAAGAAGCAACAGCATTTGCAGCTAATTAAGTATCTGCAGAGTTTCCTCTGGGTGTCTGAATTTTTCCTCTGGCATCATATCGAACGTCATTGAATGGCGCCCCGTCCCGCGCTCTCCTTCGTTAATATAATATTATATATTCAGGGGATCATCAAGTATTCAAGCACGCGTCGCCCGAATGTATACACATCGCCGTGCGTAAGTATGTATGTAGATACTATATGTGCCTATACATATCTATACGATGTACAGAGGGCCGGAAAAGTTCACCTGAAGATGGAATTTGTTCCAAACGCTGGGCCTGAGTTTTTTTCGTTTTTTTTTTGGTTTCCTTTTTGTTTACGCTCGATAATTGCACTCGACGACCGCAATAAAGGAAAATTAAAGTTTCCCTTTGGCGGGCCCGCCGTTTCCCCCATTTTCCGACCCCCCTTTGACATTTGTGCAGTTTTGGCTTGACGTCGTCAACGTTCCGTTCTCTGTCATTTCATTTGCAGCTTTAAGTATTTTGGCCGCGGGCCAAAATGTTTTTCATGTCTTGTTGTCGCTATGCCACAGCCACAGCCACACACTTTCACACACTCTCACTCACAGCCACATACTCATGCACATTCACCGGCGGCAGGCGAGAGGGACAGTTAGTGATTAAGCGTGAAAATATCAGATCCATCCCATCCATGGGGTACAGCAACCGCAACCGCGTCAAGAAGGAAAAACAAAAAACTGGCAAAATTTTCTAGTTTTCTGCAACATTTTCTGCGAGCGTTGGTCTCTAGTTCTCTAATTCTTTTTCTTTGCATTTGGTTTTTGGCAAGTGCTGCATGCAAATTAAAATTGTTTCAGCGCAGATAAAATGTAATTTGAAGAGGACTGAGCCAAAAACAAATGAATTGAATTCAATTTGAAAGATCCAATTCAATTGCGGGGAAACGGAGCTTGTTTCGGTGCAGCAAACTGAATTTATGGAAGTGGGCAACGAAATGTTAGCTCAATAGTTCCTTCTATTTCTTTGGTAAAATAAATAACAAATTTTGATAAATATTAGTTCTCACTCGAAATAGAAGAAGTGTGGGAAGATATTATATAAAATATTTTAAAAATGAAGTGAGCATTTAGGGTTAGTTAAATTTTTTGATGAAAAAAGAGACAAAAACTTATCTTAAACATTTTGTTTTTAATTCACAGTTTTTGTTCAGATATTATCTCATTTTATATATTTCCTGCAATTTGCGATCTTTAGATATTTATACCAAAGAAAACAATGCAATGGTAACGTTAGTTCGAATGTTTTCTTTACCAATATCGCATAGCTCTGGATCATATATCGATCTGAGGCACGCACATTCAGGCATTTCGGTTTCCATGTGCTTTCCACCGTCGGAATTATCCAGCTTGCCTGCCAAGAAATACGAGCAAAGGGGCCAACACAACTATATGGCCCCAACGTAAAGAAGATATATACACAGATATTTGTTTATACGGAATGTCAGTATAGCAAACACTGGCATCCTCTCGCTCGCTCCCTGCCTTGTCCTTTGTATTTGTATCTTTCTATCTGTATCTGCATCTGTGTCGGCGTCTGTATCTGTATCTGTATTTGTGTCCGTATCCATCCATATGTGTATCTGCAGCTGCGCAATTGGCGACGACAGACATCAGGCGCTGTTAGCTGACATGGACAGCAACTGGTAGAGCGGACAATATAGGATATATAGAGGGAATGGGAGAAAAGGGGAGGGTGGTTGTGGGACATACCGCAGGGGTCTTCTTTTTGCAGTTACACATCGAGGCGCTTTCGTAACGCATTTTGGCAGCACCTGTCTTGCCCCTTCCCCACCCTCGGTGTTCAGCACCCTGTCTCTTCCCCACAGAAGCAGAAGCAGCCATTGCAAAATCTTGTGTAGCAAGATCGGAAAATTTCGAAAGAGAATTGCCGAGGAAAACTGAAATTTAATCAGCGAACCCATACCAACGCAGTTTTGGCAGGGGCCCGAGCGTAAGTGTGCTGAAGAAAGGTGTGGGGAAGACTCACACACTAGCACCCGTAGAGAGAGACCAAAGCAGCGCAACGTAATGTGGACATACACACACACACACCAACGCAGATCGTAGAGCGAGGTGTGTTGAATGGGTGGAAAAGGGGGAAGACTGGCGATCGAGGCGAGCACTTTTGTCTATATTTAGCCCGAAATGCAAATGGCGTCAGTGCTCACGCACACACTTACTTGCACAGACAGGCGAGAGGTGGGTTTCACTGAGGTGAGTTCCCGGATTTTTGCGCATGCGCTCCTTCCCCACCGGTCGCCATTTTGAATATCGACGATCGCGATACAGAAAAAACGAAAACACAGGAAAAACACACTGAGAAGAGAAAAATTCAAGCTAAAAACCTGTATAGATTTTAATAGATTTTTTCCTCTTGGGCCATAACTAAATTTAAGATTTTGTTTTGGTTTTTGTTTAAATTTAACTTGTGAATGAACTGGCCAGCCGATCAGAGACAACAACAGGTCGCCACCCCCTTTAAGGCCCCCAAATATTATCAATTTTCTGCAAGCGCCAAGTAAACAATCGATTTGAGCTAAAAATGTTATTGGCCCGAGTTTTATTTTTACAGAATGCGCACGGGCACGTGCCGTGCCTAAAATCGTGCACCAAGCAGATATATATATTATGTAGATATATAGCCACAGTCGTAGATGCGGTTATATGTAGATATAGTTCTCTGCATCATAATCGCCGTGCTGTCCGTTCGTCTGGTTTGGTTGTTTCCATGTTTATACGGATTTCTGGGTTTATGCTTGCCTTTCCTATTGGCTTCTACATCTTCCTAATGCTCGGCTGTTTTGCATTACCGCTCGACTGGGTGGTCCAGAAATGCAGACGGACAATCTGCCCACCCATCGGAATACGGAGGCCCGACTTGTCTGTAGATTTGTTTTGGCGGCGCCTTTTTTGGAAAAATTTAAAAAAATTTAAAATTCTTGTTGGGAAATACTGACTATGAGTCGTTGTAGTTTTGTGTTATATACCATTAAGACATTTCCCTTTCAATGTAATCATAAATCGATTATCTTTGCATAGATATACGTTGGCAGAAGCGTATTTACATTGTTAAATACTATTTTTCTTTGTATAGTGCACTAGTTTGAGACTGAGTTTAACGATATTGTATTTTTTGCAAACGTCCAAAAGTGACACAAAGTTATAAATTCCTATAGGATATTTCGATGGATTTCCTAGGCATCTCCTTGTCTATATTTAGATGTCCCCGCCTTCCGACCAATTGTTTTTCTATACCATTTGCCCCGCTCTCAGCTGTGTAACCCCAAACCGAAAGTGACAAACAGAATTATTGAAAAATTATGATTTCTTAAGCATGTCCCCCAATGCGTGACGAAGAACGAGGGATACATGAGCATGCATAGGTGGGCTGGAGGGGGTGTGGCCGTGGCCAAAGGATTGTCTGTGCTCCTCGGTGCCCAGTTCCCGAGTGCATTCCTCCCCGCCGCGTGGTTTTCCATCGATATGCGCTGGAAAAAAGCCACGTAGAGCACGCGTGGTGTGTGCAGGCAGAAATTTGCCCCTCGACAGTTCAGTTCTTCTCGGATATAGCTGCCCCGCTCAGTTTACTAATTGCTTCCGTTTGCCGAGGCTACGGGTGCTACGGATGCTACGGATGCTAAGAGTACTACGGCTGCCCGAAGTTTTCAGGGATCTCGAGACTCATTTTAATTGCATTTCTTTTAACGGTAACATCAGTGGCAGCAGTTTGCCCCCATCCCCTATCCCCATCCCAATCCCAATCCCTCTTGGCTGCCTGTCAGTCTGGGCGACGGTCTGACGGTCTGATGGTCTGATATTCTGATTCCCTGCCACGTCAATAACATTTGCGTACGGCAGAGATGCGTGTCGGTGAACCTGCCCATGCATATGTGTGTGTGTGTGTGGCACATGGGTGTGGGTGTTGAGGGGCGCTTCATATTTCCCAGCTCTAGACTCCTTTAACAGGAATTTTCCTGCTCTTAGTTGTTTACAAAAATCATGTTCTTCACCAAATACAAAGCCCCGTTGGGCTCCGCCTCTGTTTTTTCATGGCTTTGTTGTAGTTTCGGAGGCCCAATAAGTTAAAAAATCAAAGGAAACATTGCGAGTACTTGCGCGAACATATAGACAGACATACATATGTGTATAGTATGTACATATAGTATACAGTTATGCACATAACCTACACTGAAGTCATACACATTTTGGTTTTTAAAACCAAAATTCGTTATACCAAAAATGGTTACCAACAATAACCACTAATCAAGTATGAATTGGAATTCTTGTTTCATCGTTAATCGTATTTATAATGTATAACTTTCGTTTTGAGTAGTTCCAAGCGAACCATTTGAAGTTCATAATTTTTTCCCCGAGTGTACGGAAAACCATAAGATGTTTCCACATCGATGCGCCTTATGGTCGCTGCTGCCGCTTCGGTTGGCTTTAGGTGAGAAAGACAACAATAAAATGTGGCTGCAGACTCCTAAACAGATACAGATACAGAAACAGAAACAACTGCACACGGATACGGGCCTCAAGTGGCTTGGGTGCCTCCATTCCGATGCCCAGACATTCTCGGCCAGAGAATCCGCAGTCGATGAGAATGTTATGCTAGATATGCCATTTGACTTCTGGCTCGGCAACTGCAATGGCAACCAGGAAACGACCTCGCCATCCAAATCAGCAGCTAAAGGATGCGCCCACTTGAGACCGGGCCTGGTATCGGTAATCCAGTCCATCCATGTGCCTCCATGTGGAAATGTGCCTCATTTGGTTTGGGATTTCCTCAAAGCCTTTATGCAACAAGCATCTGATGGAAACTAGTTTGAGAACAGTCCTCACGATGTGAACGCTGATTGGATAAACATAATTCGATGTTCTATAGGGCGGGGGTGTAAAGATTTTATTTGATCAATTACTTACTACTTGGGATTCAAGTTAAATACGCAAGACAGAGATTATCTTTACTGCTCTTTTGAAATTCAACATTGATCTCAATTTATTTAAGGTCATGGTTTTCTATACTCTGATATAAAGTTCGTATCAATACATTTTAAATATGTTAAATATACGTCCTTATTATTAAAAAGTATTGTTGCATTTTTGTATCACAAGTAAAACGAGTTCCTTGTAATATTGTTTTTTAAAACTAAATTAAAGGAATTTCTAAGACGAGTTGGTCGTTGCGTCTGAATTCTTTGGTAGATCATTTAAAAGCAATGGTTAATGGATCGAGAAGTTCAATATATCACCAATCAATTCGCTGCGTCACTTGTTGAGCCTTCAGATGGCTCACTGTGCCGCCACCATTCGCCTCCATGGATTCAGTGGCTCTGCATTGGCATTGGCTTTGTTTGCGGCTTCGGCGTATGTCGCTTTGCATCAGCTTACAAGATTTATGGTATCCTTTCAACTTTAAACCCGCTCTGCTCACTTGTCGTCTGGGCATCAGCAGCAACAGCAGCGCAGCAGCTTCTCGGTTATCCAACTCGTTATCTGAGTTCTCTTAGTCGATTTTTGCAGGGGGTATGCCGCACATGTGCGGACCCCGACTTTGCCACCGATTTCTGGGGCTTCTGGAGATTCTTTTCCTTGGTTCCTTGGGGGCGCGAACAGCGCGATGCAGGAGGTCAACGTGGTGCGCGTGTGCATTGAACTGAGCGTCATAAATCGCTAGCGTCACGGACGCGTTTTCGCAGTTCGGCGTTTTTCGTAAGCCTCCACCATGCCACCCACTTTACTAATTTCCATTTTCGTATTTTTCCGCCTCTTTGCAGCTCAATCTTTTGTACCTGTTGTGTCGGCAAACTGATGAATGCGAGCTCCCCGAAGAAGGTGAGTCCTTAGAACCTGTTTTGTTTTTTCGGCTTGTTTCACCTTCTTATGAAGCACGTGCCACGTATTATGAAGCTGGCCAACAAACACACACACGCACACGCATTGGTGCGCAAGTTTGTGTTTGCGTGTGTGTGTGTGTGTGGGTGCAAGGCAAATATTTACACTCAATGGAACATAATAAAGACATTAGGGAAATATTGTGTTATGTGGGGGCATAACTCAGGTTCTGTGGGTGGAAATTGTATAAACTTATCAGCCCGCCGCCACCCCTCTGATTTTCCTTTTCCTCATTTTCTCTCCCGCTGTGTGAGTGTGTGTGTGGGACACTTTTCTTTATTGCTCTGCGAGTTGTCAATTTCCGTGTGTCTGCCTGTTTGCCTGTCTGCTTTTCCCACCAGTTTTTCCCTCCGCTTTTCTTCAGTCAGGATGCTTGGTATTGTTTTCCACGAGTTGGGTTTTTGTTGGATTGAAAAAGTGGAGAAGGTAGCTCAGTTGTTTAGTGTTTACATTAGACTGCACATTAAACAGCAGTTAATAGATTTTTTCATAGGCAACAAGTTCCTTACTTTACAATCTCGGAATCACAATAAATAGTATTTCATAGAAATATTTAAAACCATTTATCGGCTGAATATGCTGTTTACTTGGCTGCCCGAAGCTCAGAGAGGACTTTAGTTTAATAATTGGGTTTTCATTTTAGGATACTAGGACTTAAATAAAAGTTCTTGTTATCTGCTTCCCCATTTAATACTAAGGATTCCAATTGTGGTGCACGTTATTTATAGCCTACTTTGCTCCCAAAATGCGTTATAACAAGCTGAAATGTAACTTAAACCGCTTTTCAATGCCGTGAGTTAAAGCAGCCGAGACCAGCTCACTCGCACTCAAGCTTTAGTTTTCCGCAGTACATGAATGTTTTAGTGTGTTCCCGAGTTTGCCTCAGTGTCAGCTGGGATATGCATAAATAACATTGATTGATATGCCACCCACTCGAAATTTATTCGCCAACCATCGCGTATGTTTCAAAATGATTACCCAACTCACTGTCGCTCGCCAAATGATATGCCACTTAGTAGATACTGAAGCACACAACATTATGAATCCATCAATGGGCCAACTTATGAATGAATGCGACCAGTTTCGGGGAATTCAATCAGCTCACCTTGAATGTGTGTCATCCGTTTCAATTATAAACCTTTTTTCAGCTCGTCCTTGCCCCAAAAAAAGAGTTCTCGCATTAAATATGTGCCACTTTCCCAAAAATCAGCTGAAAAGGAAAAGTGTGAGAAGTAAAAAACGTTTGGTAACAAGGGAAAATGGTCGACGGTGACAGTTTTGCGGACGTCAGGTCATTCAGGATGTGTTAGATGTGCTAGAGCATTTGAAAAGTTTTCTATTTGCTGTGCCATGCTAATTGCAAGTCGGGATGACAGTCAAAGCCAATTAGAGGCAGTTTTCGCATTCTAAGCCAGTCGAAATGGAAGGCTGGGCATCCGTTCTTCCTCCCTGGGAACTTATCAGTCATGCAAACAGAGAAATGCTTTCACCGTCGAATCTGAATCTGAATCCGAATCTGAATCCGAATCCCTCGATCCTTCGCCCCGCAATGACACACGTGTTAAGGTGGAATTATTCAGGCTGACAGCATGAAACTGAAGCTAAAAGAGGCTCTTCTGCGTGGGCGCTTAGCATCGGGGAAAATTGATTAGATTAGGCCAAATTCGACATTGTCGCAGGAGGAGCGGCAGAAAGGGGGTACAGTAGCGTACTTAAGCTCGCATTTAATCACATTTAAATTGCACTCAATGCCCGGGGAAATTGATTGAGATTTTTATGAATTAGGCAGCAAGTCGGGGTCCTAAGCCCGTTTAAGTCGAGCAATTGAAATGTAATTAGGCAATGCTAATGGCGACACATACCCCTCTCGTTCGGCAGGAAGTCGACCATCATCTCCACAGAGACTTTTCCGTGTCGAAATCACTTGAGCTGAACTTCCATTGCTTTTTTCGGGGACCGGCATTTGCATAATTGATACCACCGCAGACATTTTTCAATTTCGAAATCTCGACGAGCAATTAAAAAGATGTTTTCCCCGTTTTTCCGTATGCTTACAACCCTCCGGATACACTTGGTGGTGTTCCACTGCTGGGTATCTGCAGGATGGGCATGGCACGAAGGGCAATTTGAATGAGATTTATGAAATTACCTACGCAGCGTTTACAAAAACAATCATCGGCGGAGGGCAGTGGAGTGGAGTTGAGATGGGATGAGTTTCACGTGGCTTGGCTGGCTTGGCTTGGCTTGGGGTACTCGAAGATCTCCCTGAAGAAACAGAAACCCCTGCCAAGCAGTTAAAGTCGGACTCAACGCACATTGAGGCGGTTGCCGCTGCCGCGGCTGCTGCCGCAGATGCCGCATGTTGCACATGTGTTGAGTGCATGCAACATGCAGCACACAGCATAGGGATACATGGTCATGCGCAAATCGCCGGGCGGCGTTTATTGAATTAAGACTGTCGACGACTGTTTGCAGTTGGCAGTTGTCGCACCCAGTGGAAGCGTTAAAAGTCACAAGGACACTGCAACTGAGAATAAGAATGTGAATGGGAATGGGAAAGGGATCTTCGGATGTACACACATGGATCGTTTGCTGCTGGATTCTCAAACTGCAACATTGTGGCGCCGCCGAGAGGCGAGGGCCGGCCATAAAACGGGTAACTCGGTCGCGCTGCACTTGGTATCGGTTATGCGTGATTTTTACAGAATCCATTCTCGACCATTACTCGACGGGGTCGGCGCAATATCTGCGGCATCTGGCATTTTGCATATTACTCGGAAAGTCACGTTAAAGTTGCTCCTACTTAACTGCAACTGCAAAATGGGCATTCCTAAAGATTTCACCGCCCTCAAAGTCCAAATCTGTGTGTGTGTGTTTAACTATCACTTTAATTTTAACTATCACATAAGTCACAGTTTACAGTAGGCAAATTAATATACTTTCCTATTGATTCAAATGCCATATTGATATGGCTAATCACTAAAAGTCTTGCTACTGGAATTATCTTTATAATTATAATTGTAAAAATAGATGCAAAATCGTTTCTTATATGGTTTAGAACTATAGATGGTAAAGTCTAAGAAACTTATTATCATGCATAATATAGTAGAACTATAGCCTGGCTAGTCGCCTACGTTTTGCCTCACAAAACTGGACTAATCACATACAACGTTCCCAATTTTCCTGCCTCTATTAAAGCACAATTTTGTATTAAACTCTATTGGGATCAAGTAGGAGCACTTGTATTCCTACTTTATTATCTTTTCGCCTGCATAACCTGCATAATAGAGCGTGTTTAACGTAAATAATATCTTGCTTAGCGGAACAATAGACAGGGTCTGGGTCACAGGGCTTTGGATCCCACTTGGCTGGCAGTCCGATTCACAAATTAAGCCCCAACTTCAGCCATACAACTACTTTACCTCTGTCTGAATAGGCAATCATCAATCGAGCAGAAACAATGAATCGTTGGTTACCGCACACCCTAGGATCCTACGGGTCCTACCCTTTTTCCCTTCCGTTTCCTTTCTTTCTAGCCCAAAGTGTTTCTTTTGTGTGTATTTATTAGGCCCGTTAGCACACGAGTTAAAGGACTGGCCGTGTCGTACAAAAGTGTATAATAAATGAAAAAAGATTGACGAGCTTTTAAAGTTAACATCACCTATTAGAAAGAAATTACTTTTAAAGGTTGTCAGATTTGCACACTATCTTTTTCAAAAGAGCGTAACCTATAAAAGTTAGTAAGTATGCAACATCTTTTGTAACAGGGTATCGAGTATATTTCAACGTTTTTCGCCTACCGTTTTTCCGCTGCCAAACGCAGGTCAACAAAGTTTTTATTAAGCTGCGTCGAGGGGGAAAACTATAGGAGGTTGGTGTTTATCGAGGGGATCCAGTGGCAAGGACAAATAAATAAAATACACACAAAAAAAAACCGAGAAACTTGGTAATGCGGGAGGGGGACGTCCTGGAAGGCAGGCAGATACAAAGCGGATACAAAGGAAAACGGAAACCAAAGCGATGTTTAGCAGGGGTGTAGTTAAGGGGGGTGGTGAAGTGGGGGATAATTAACATTTATAGGAGGCCGCTAGAGCGGGACAGCAAGCTCGGCGAGCGAACTACATAACTGTAACTGTTGCTGATTGATCAAGTGTGTGGGTGTGTGCGTGTGTGTGTGTGTGTGTGTGTGTGTGTCCGTGTGCGTGTGCGTGTGTCTGGCTGGGGCACAAACAAAAACCATATGTTTCTCGCCCGACTCCCGCACGCACTCACTCACAAACCGAATTACTCACTCAGCCCGCCTCCTCTCGCTCACTCTTGCTTTCGTTGTGAGTAAGAACTCAAAGCCAGCGACTGCGCACTCTCTACCTCTCCCGCTCTCACATTCCCCGGCGATGTGTGTGTGCGATATTCTGTTACACAAAAAGGCAAAAACAAAAGGCACCGTTAGAAGGTGTGCGCGTGTGAGTGAGTTCACCACGAAACGAAAATCCTCACCGCCAGCCTACGTACATACGTGTTGGCTGTTGGTGGCTGTGTGTGTCTGTGGGTGTGTGTGCGAATGCGAGAGAGCCTGCCAGTGCAGCTGTGTGCGGGCGTATCTGTGTGTGCGTACTTGGCGTTACGACGTCAACGACAGCATATCCGTCAGTACGTTTGTACGCGTCCGCAGCGCCGCTTCTTCAGTTTTTCGGTTTTCGGGATTTCGAGATTTTGAGATTTCGATTCGATTCGATTCGATTTCGGCAGATCAGTTTGCGATCCGTTTGCGAGTTCGATATTTTCATTCCGAGCCAACGATCCAACGATCCGATTCCGCTAGCGATTCACAACAGATAGAGATCTTAAATCGAACGCCGCGAGAAATTATGCTGGCCCGCTGCTCTCGCACTACGCGCAATAATTTATTTTTACTCCATATAAACAAATTCTACGTCTAT